GGAGGGATCAAAACCTGTTTTGTCTATTTTAACGAATGAATGACTCTCGATCTACCAGCATTGCCCCCGCGGTCGACCGGTCGACGTACTGGGCACCTCTGGTTTAGATGATGGCGCGATGTGTTTGCTCAAAATTAAATAACAAACATTTGCAAATGCAACAAAGAAAATAGGCCTTTACAATATTCAAAAGAAATAAGCAAAACTCAAATAAAATAATTAACAACTTAGGTATTCTTTCTTTCTTAATAATGCTTATATAACTCCATAACTTAAAGGGTACTTGTACGATTTGTATGTGTACGTGTACGGTTAAAAACTGTTCCTCGACGGCGTCTCTGAAACGGGTTGCCCATCACTGTGGCTTTAGCGCAGGCGCCGTGGGAATTGTAGTCCTTTATAGTGCGTTAACTACAGACGTCACAATTACGTGGCCTTTCTTAGAAAATCAAAATACTGGCTCTAACAGGCAGTGTGTCAGAAACATTTATAAACCACGCCTGCTAAATGTTTCTGAAATAAAATCATGCAATGCTACACTAAACTGATTAGGACACTATGAGGTGCACTTTTTTGCTGATAGCAAGATGAGGGGAATATTACCACCAACCTCATGTATTAATCATAAATAGAATGCTAAAGCCTGGAAAATGTGTTAGCTTAGCTTAACATACACAAGTCACTGTCCAGCCCAGTATGTACAAATCAGGTTAAGATTGGATATTTAGATAAGATAAGATGTTAAGTGGTGAGTATTAGAGGTGCTAGTTGTTGGAGCTAGGCTAATTATTTTAAGAGTTTCAAGTTATTGTACTTGTATGTACAATGTATTTGTCAAATCAGTGTTAATAGCCAGTGTATAATATTGAAGACAAATCATTTACTTATTTTCGTCCAACACTAGTGGTACCGTTAATGTCACGATCCTTTACAAGACAACATTTCCCCCTTTTTCTACAGCTAAATGACCCCTTGCATGCAATAATTCAATGTGACACCGTGATATTGGGAGTCTAATATTCATTTTAACCCAGTTAATGTGCTTTTCTGCGTCTTACTGAATACTTCAGTGTTAATGTGTGTGTCCCCTCTCAGCTCTGAGTACCTTCAACCCAGCTGTGTTTGTGCTGAATGAAATGCTGAAGCAGCAGCTGGCCATGACGCAGCGTTTCATCGATAGCAGCCGACACCTCCACTGCAGCCTGCTGCAGAGCCTGGGCCCCCCCGACTACAGATACACCACGCTGGAGGACACCAAGGAGGTGAGATACACACACACACACACACACACACACACACACACACACATACACATACACACACACACACACACACACACACACACACACACACATACACATATACAAGGTGAGATACACACACACACACACACACACACACACACACACACACATACACATACACATACACATACACATACACACACACACACACATACTGGTGTATAGTTGAATAATCCTGATGGTTAGATTGACTTGTTTCAACAAAGTAAATGCATGTTGCTAGCTCAGCGCAGTATTATGGGCACACAGCGTTCCTGCATTTCCTCTGTGATGTAGCTGACCTGATGAAAATGTGAAAATCTGTCATTATTAGTCCAACACGGAATGTCCTTTTTCAATGTATTTCAATGCCTCTAGAGTGGTTTCCAATTACGCTTTGAATTTCTACTCATATTTTATGATATCACCCTAAAATAACATATATATATATATTTATATATTTGTTTTATATATTTGGGAAATGATTACATCCCTTTTTTACAATAATGTTTCCTTTAAGTTGCTCTGGCTTTATTGGAAAAGTTTGGATCACCCAATGCAGAAACAATCATAAGTAGCCAGCCACCACTTAAATCAAACTCTACAAATAATATACTATAAATACAAGTGTAGCCTAATCCTTATCTGCAACTGTGCAGAAAATACCACAAAAATAGAAGCGATTTAGAACTGGAATATCAGTGTTGTGAATGAAGATTCAACATTTCCGATACATCCTAAATATGAGATAAAGAACATGAAATTAACAGAAAACATAATATTTTTTTAATTTATTGCATTTTTAGTTCCAAATTGCATTAAAAGAATCAATTCTTCATCCCTCCACAGTCCATCCGTCGGCACAGAGGCCACAGACTGAGGCTGAAGGCACAGAGCAGCAGCAGGAGGTGACTGTCCATCTGCTGCCGACTGTCCTGGATTACTCTTTTTATACATAATTAAAACATATTTTTCGAATATGGGAAGGATGTAGAGTATTTGTTGTTTATCAGTCAGAGAACATGCCAAGAAGAATGTAATGCTTTTGTAAAATCACATCATACAGTTTTAAATGTGTCAATTTGAAATCATGCAATGTGTGGCCTCTTGAATGAATGAAGCGGTTTTGTAAATTATTTTTATTTTTTATATTAAAAAGAGATGACAACGTCCCTGATAAGCGTAAATCATCAATTCTGCCACTTTTCGCTTTAAGAAGAAATAATGATTTAACAGTGTTTCACTTATATGACCTTCATTCTGTTGTGCTTTTTGGGGTTTCCTTTTTCTTTCAGTGTCTTATTTAGGTTTATGTCAGTGGTCTGCAAAGGCTCGATTCCCTTTGTCCGCACGCCTGAAACGCCTATATTGGACTCCTTTGTGTTCTTCCGTAACATAGTGACATCAACACTTACGCTTCTATTGGCTGGCTCTCAAACACATTGTACGTGATCGGTGCTGCAGCACAGGCAGTTTGAGAAAAATAAAGAGCTCAAAATACAAATATGAACCTGAATATGGACATAATAGGGCCCCTTTAAGATAAATCCCCAAAGAAATTAAGCATTTAAATGATACAACACAGAAAAGTATTAAAGGTGGGGTAGATAATTTCGGAGAAACCAGCTCAAGTGCGCTAGAATTTGAAAATACACAGCCGGAAAAAATCTGCTACTTCCTTACAGAGTCCCTCCTCCAACACACACCAACGCGCACTTGACCAATGAGGGCACGAGATAAGTTTGTGCACAGATGGAAGGCTGACAGGCAGGTAGGCCATCCAGTTACTTTAGCGGGCTCAGATGATTGGTCGTGCTTTTTACAGCGCCACGGCTTCCACAGATGAAATTTTTTTATGTATTAATTGTCAAAGTATTTAAAATATTCATTGCTATCGGGATGTTAAGAGCATTCCATGGAATATAACAAAAAGGTTTTCTGAAGTGAATTACCTACCCCACCTTTAAAATCGGTTCTGAAGAGGTGAGTTTTGATTTGTGATTTGAACATGGTGAGATTGGGGGAGTCACGGATGAAAACATAAAAATGAATTGAGCACTTTTTCTTTAACCTACTATTTGCCTCGTAATGGGAGAGGTGTCGGTGTTTCAATTCAAACGAATATGACTCCACAATTAACATTTATTTCCATCTATCTAATCAGCTCTGCACCAATGAAGTGTTTTTCCTGAAGGTGCGTTGACGTTTTTTCCTCACTTTCTAATTTTAAAAGCCTGATATTGAGGTAGGACCTGGAAGGAGAAGCACGTCGGGTTTCACTGTGATTTTAGTGTCAAAAGTGACCACTCTCTGCACGATCTGTGGAATAGAGAAACATTTCCTAAAGCTCTATCGTGCATAATGTTTTGAGATATTTTAAAGCCTTTAAATTAAAACCAATGAGATAATATCCTTATGCATCTCTACTAACTAACTTCTGAGGATAGCGGACCATTGAGCAGCAACAGAGTCCATAACGCTGATATATTGTATGTTCTTGTACATATCCTATTCTATTTGCATGTAGACTTTTTGCACTACTTTTTATTTTGTATTTTTGTATTTTATTTTATTATATATGTTGGATTGTTGGAGGAGCTCATTGCCATTTCTACACTGTAGCTTTTGTGCATACAGTAAAACCTTTGATTTGAGAATCGAACTTGAATATCTAAAGACAAACCGTTGATGTCGTTCTCTACTTCTGTCCTCCAGCGCTGCAGGCAGCTCTTCACAAAGTGCAGCTCCTCCTCAGAGACGCTGTGGGGGGCCGGGTGGGGGGGGCAGTCTATGGGGAGTCTGCATTGGGTGAAGGGTTTATAGATCGGGGTCCGCTGACAACTGGAAACACCGGCAACAGGATCCTCTGATGAATCTGCGTCTGTGGGTTCACTGAGGGAAGCAAAGAAAAGGTTGGAAGTGGGTCCAACTACAAACCCTTTAAAGTCTAACTCAGGAAAAGTACAAAACCTGTTAGGAACAAAAAAACATTACATTTTATTAACTAATTACATTTAATTAATGTCTGTCTGTGTTTGCTGTTTTATCGTTGTTTGTTGTTATTGTTTTGTGGGTTTTATTATGTGTTGTTTGTATTGTCTCACCTGAAAATAAGAAAATACAAATATTGAAACAGAGCAGGAAATGGAAATACTCAAGTAGCGTACAAGTCAGTTACTAAATATACAGTTACACCCCCCATGCCTGTGTGTACTCCACCTGTTGTCTTTGGGGAGGGGTTCATTGGGGAGGGGGCTCGCAGGAGAAGCAGCTCTCAGGTCTTCAGCGGGGGAAACACTAGAGGGTTTGGTGGTGGCGAACTCCAGAACAAACTGCAACATGTCGGCCAGAGGATACTTCGAGGGTCCAGAGCCGTAGTTCTTATAGCTGGCGATAAAGAAAGGAAACTATTTGTGACCCACAAAGTGGAATTTAGAGCAGTGCAGTGATGACGTATTTTGTAGTGGACCCTGAAGGCAGCATCTCCCTGGTTCCCTCCACAAAAAGCCAATTCAATTTTGCACTGGTTTTTGGATTAAAATTGATTTTTAATACTTACACGTTTTGTTCAGCAGGATCATCTCTACATATTAACACCACTTTATGATTTTTGAAGTAAAAAACTAACATTAGGCTATAAAGGAACTACAGCACGGTCACATGACATCAGGTCACCACCGCTAAGCTAAAGGTGGCTAATGTTGGGCTATAAAGGAACTACAGCATGGTCACATGACTTCACGGTCACCCATCCGCTAAGCTAAAGGTGGCTATATTGGGCTAATAAAGGAAACTACGCACGGTCACATTGACTTCAC